GCTGTATTCGACATGTTTCCCTCAACATGAAAGATTTCAATAAAAAAAAAAATACAGGTGCATAATAAGAAACTAAAAAGATGAACATTAGATTTGGGAATTTATATAAAATGCCTCGTCTTGATGATCGACAGTCCTCAAGAACAGTCCCAAAATAAAAAGAATAACCATGTTATACCATACAACAGAGGTGAAGAAAAAGACATTCCTCACTAGCAGCTAAACAAATCCGCCACTAATTTGGAATGATTTTCATCTCCCTTAGCTTAAACACCCACCTCTCAACACTCTTAAAAGTGTCCCTAAACCCTAGAAAACCATACTCCTTACTCTTGTTCATGCTGCAAACATGTTGAAACCCAAAGTTCAGGACTGCTTGGCAAAGTTCAAAGCAAGTGATCTCCTCAAGTTTGGTCTCAAAGAGTCCATTCTCATTGACAATGGCATCCCAAACTTGGGACTTAAGTCTTTCATAGCCATAGGAAGGTCGAATCCCTCTCCATTAAATGGCACAGATTCTACTCCCACCAAATTTGCCACCACTTTCCACATGCTTTTCCAAGTGAACACATCCCCATTAGAACAATTGAAAGCTTGGTTCTTGGCTTTCATAGTTGTAGCTGCCCATATTTGTTACTCAGCTAACAAATCAGCATCACTAGCATCAAAGAAATGTTCCCATGAATATTTGCACCCTGGAAATCTAAAGGCCATCCCTTCATGTTTACATATTAGTGCATAAACTAACAAAGTCAGAAGGCCATTGTGTAGGCTCCTAGTTGAGGCTCCATGAATAATAGAGGAACGGTGCACAGACCAAGTCAAAAGTCCTTGTTTTTTGTTGGAAAACTCTATCAATATATCCTCCAAATCATAGTAAAACATTGGAAATGGATGCCTAGGTGAGTCCTCCTTGAATGGGGCTTCATGGGGGATCACTTTAGAGCCATAAACAGGGTCAAATATAGGACCCATGTATTGCTTTGTGCCAGTTTGTAAGCAAATGTGCTGTAGTTTTGGTGCATCGGTTAAGAGTACCTCTAAGACGTTTCTTAGCATTGGAGAGTTCTCCTTGCAGTTGTCTTCCTCTCTTTCTCGTATTTGGAGAACCACCCAAAAGACATGGGTCACATCTGATTGCCCAGAGAGCTTCAATTGGGCATCGAGTGTGTCAAGAACATCACATTCTATGTAGTGACACAGAATAGTCGGAAAATAGCTCGGTTTTGGCCTTCGAGCAACAGCATAGATCTTCCAAGAGGGTGGAGTCGACAAACACTTTGGGTTGTTAAAAGGCCACTACCAGGCTAAGGCCTACCATGCCAGTTGCACCAATGACTAGTGCTACATTCCTCTCATCAGCTACCAAGCTATGAAGTCTGGTCAATGCGTGGCCCTTTTAATGTGTGGAATGGAGGAAAGAAGCATGGCATCACTCTTGTCTTGGAACATAACTCTCTAGCCAGGCATATTCCTACCTTCTTTTTTTATTTTTTTGGTAGGTTAACTAATTTCTTGAAATTTATTTGAATACGGTCAGCTTAATTCGAGCTGTCCTATGCCTTCAGATCCTCAACCATGTTTTCCAACGTCAATAAATTAGAAAAGGAAAAAAAATGACAAATAAGAATATCATAATAGGTAATTCACTTAGAGTAGAGAAGGATAAAGATAGAATATAGAAATTCAGCTGGTTTTCAGACCTTATTTCTTTTAGTAAGATGGCCCCTCAAATCGCATAAGAACAGGAAATCCCCAGATGTCGGCTGGTTGAAGCTATTTAAAATAGTAAAAAATTCAACCATCATATAGTAATAAAAAAACCCTAATTTTGAGGACAAAGTCTTTGCTTGCTAGTAGTTTAGGAGAGTAAGATCATCCCACTAGAAAAGAATAAAGATCATCCCACTAGAAAAGAATAAAAACATTGTGTTTACAATGAAAAGTAAATTAAAGGAAGAATGATAATACCGTAGGAAGCTCAAGGATCCTCCTCCAAGAACAAAGAGATAGGTCAATGGTAGCACTCTACTGAAGAAAAGGTGATACTGAATAATGGAAAAAGGTTATACAAGAATCAATCTTACATTATAAAAATAAGATGCATCTCAAAATTCCATTCATAAAAGGCTATTCTAATGTTGGAAAACCCTCAAATAGTCATCTTGACCTTGTCATATATGATACGAAAAAATTTAGATTTCAAGTCCCAAAAAAATTGCATCTTGCAACACATTATCCGATCAATTTTCAAGATTTTCAAGTATTTATTGATCGACTCAATCTGCAACATTATTGGGGATTTAAATTAGATAATTGAGGGTAAAAATATTTTTTTAGGTTAATGTAGGAGTTTTTGGCACTTATACCATATCTTCGGCAGGGTTTGGAGATACATTTTCTTTGTTGTTTAACGTTGACGCCTTGTATAACCTAACCTAGAAAAAAACAAGGGTAATAGACTTGCCATGACAAACCTAACCTAGAAAAGAACACAAGGGAAATAGACTTTCATATTGGGCTGAGTAGGTTTTTGAATATTAAAACTCAATTCAGTTGCGAAGTCACTATATAAGCATATAAGCAAAGAGAAAACAAAACCGACTGGCCAAAAACATATAAAAAGCAGGGCTGTTTGTGAGATGAACAAATGATGTAGACTAGAAAATTGGGTCATTGATTAACAAATTTTTCTGAGATTAATTGTACTCCCAACATTCCCAAGGCAAGTGAAAACCCAACAAATTTATTTTCCTAACAAATTATTCAGAGTAAAACTATATCCTAAGAGTATTCAGAGTAATAATTTTTTGTCCAACAAGTTCCATTTATGTGCAATTTTGCGGCATTTTCCATACAAAGGAGGGCTCAAAATAGGACACAGACATGAATTAGAAAAGCATTTGCATACAAGGTATAAAATAGAATTTCCCTCTAGTGGTCTGAACTCCACACAAACATGCTTGGAGAATGTATAAACATATATCCTCACATAACTTTTCTTTTTGCTTTCTGCCCTCTTAGTGGTTTTGACAGACACACCCCGGGAGCATAATACACACACATACTCAAACTATAGCCAGTTCAAGTTAAGATGGGACCCTCGCAACACAAAAACACTTGATTGTTATGGATATAGTTCTCAAGGATTTTTCAGCTTTCATCTCAAGTTTCATTACTATCACTGAATCACCCAAAATAAGAAAAAGGGATCTTTCAGCTTAATGATTGCTTGGGGGTTAAGACATTTTCATGATTTACGATTTGCAAAAAATATGATAGGCATTATAAGCACTTAAAAAGGAAAAATAAAATAAAAGGGAAACAATGAAACAGAAAGTCGTAAAGAATATGAAAATACTTCTTACACCTCATAATCCTGAAGGGATTTTTTATTTTTATTTTATTTTGGGTAATTAATCCTGAGAAGTTCAAAGCTACAAAAAATTGTAGCTTAGTTATGTTCAACTTATAATATACAGTTTTTTACTTCCTCATGTAAGGACATCCACACTTAATATTTAATTGTAAAAATTGGATACAATCAGAAGATAAAAGGCAAAAAATTCCTAGTAAAGGGGAAATGGAAATAATTTCCACTAAACAAGCATGTGATTAGAAGAAACGCATAAGACATTTCCATGTCTAAACCACGTGATTCCACGCAATAAGCATTATGAGAATTGTCAGCCCAAATATTAAAACAGTGCAATTGAAAGCTGAGCTTGCATGGGTCTGATCCAAACACTGTAGCTTCCAATCATGCTGCCAAGAACTGATGAAAAGCAAAAGGCTTCAAGAACTGGTGGATTCCTCGGTTTTCACTCAAAATAACTGAATTAGAACACATTAATGCTTTTTAAGGGAAAAGTATTTTGTGAGTCAGCCAACTTATGCATTCATCTTAGTTTTTGATGGATTTAAGATGGCCTAACACACCCCAAATCACAGTGCAGCCATTTACGCTTGAGGTCCATGAATTTGGAGCTTTTAAAAACAATGCAGATATGCTGATTTATGAATCCTATAGGTAAGCCACTGCATTGCAGGGGTTGGATCAAGTATGGGTGACCACAATCGAACACTTCACATTGTGAGCTATCAGTAAAAAGTTTGCTAAATGAAGCACATTGAACAAAGTGTTCAACAAACTACCTCTATGACATAAGCACGACCTAGTGGTGTGCATGGCTCTATGATGGAGTCACAACAGTAGCCAATACTAGACCACAGACAAACACTTTGTGCTTGATGATTCACTTTTGAAACCGAAAAGACAAAAATGAACCAGTGGAAGTTGACGATTGAAATGTCACATCTGTTACATGTTATAAGAACTGGTTATGAGATCAAGAGAACATGGAAAGGCCTCATCTCTCTCTCTCTCTCTTTCTCTCCAACTCATATGTTCTAGATCTTGTCATTTTGGGTGCATTAAACAAACAGTTTCTCTTTATCACAGGAAATTTTCACCTGGAAAATAAGATGCAGCCTAAGTTTCATCAGCAAAAGTCAAATATTTTTTAAGAAAGGAACCAACGCCTGGAAACATGAAAAATCTTTAGTTGATCAAATTATTTCACCAAGTGTTTGCTGTAATGCTTTCTAACTTTTCCATTTCATCCAACTCCCAAGAAAATTTGGATCCACATCCATCAGATGGATTTTGAAGGGTGGACTCGCCATAACAGGTCCACTCACACCTAAACGTTACCATTTATTAAGTTTAAACATACGTACTTCAGTGGTTCAAACTAAACAGCTAAACCCCGGTGAAATTGACCTCACCAACTCTAAACCTGCTGAATTTTTGCAATTAAAAACAGCTCAACCGGTTCTGTTCTTTTATTTAAGCAATAGTTAAGATGGTCGCAAACCCAGAACCCCAAGGTTGTAAAAAGAAACTTCACAGCCCAGCAATGGCCTTCAACAGTTCAACCAAGTCACCCTTTTTGTGCAAACGAAAAGAAGAAGAATTCTTCACCTCTAAACGCAACTTGGGTCAAGTTCAACACCCCGACTGCAGGCTTAAATCATTTAATCATAAGGCCTATTTGAACAGAACTGGCACTCTCCAGTTTATACATAATTCCTAGGTTTTGCACCTAGGAGTTTCGAGTTTAAAAAAAAAATAAGATGTTTCCTTGAGGCTTCACAACTCAATGCTACTGCATATACCATTGGATCTCCATGCATTCCTTGAAAACTGATGAAAACAGAAGAGCCAAACAGAATAAAGAAGTCACAGAGAGGGAGAGAGAGAGAGAGAGAGAGAGATATGTACAATTACCGCAGCTTTTTATTTTTGTCAACCAAGAGGCTTACATCTCTCTGAGCAAAACCAATCCTCTTCAGGAACAGCCTCAAATGGGGGATCACAACAATCAATGTGCCTTCCAACCCCACAACCTGCCCCATTTTCATCACCACATAAGAGCATCACATTTGCTCGCTCGCCTGAATGGCACACATCACAAATGGTATCATCACCATTGGCCTCTTCACCCTTCACCACTTCTTGACCCCTTGCCATAAGATTGTCGTAGGATTTTTTAGCAGCATCATGCATTTTGAATAGCACGTGCCTATCAAGAGGATAACCAGGTTTGCACACATATTCCACCAAATAGTCAGCCAAGATGCATGGGATGCCATGATGCATGAATTCTTGAACCCATGCATCAGCATGTGGCATGCCAGGGCTCACCACCGCATAGTCCACACCTGACTTGAGGAGGCGTGTGTATGGAGGGGATGTGGCTAGAATTACCCCATCGCCAGCCTTCACCACACGTTTTAGGGAATCCTGATTGCCATGAGATGAATTGGAAGCAATATTAGCTAATGAATTTGGTTACATACATGCGCATAAGTCAAAGTCATTACCCCATCAGCTTATGAGTACCGTTATATGCATTTGTATGAGACAACAGCCTCAACCCACCATCACCAGTATGGTTACATGAGGTATCTATGAGCCATTGGCATCACTTTTATCAGCTTGTGATTATGTTAAATGCATATCTAAGAGTATTGGCATCACCCTTCCAGATCATGAGTTTTTATGCATGTGTATGAGTCATTAGATTCAATCATCCCATCAGTTCAAGTATTTGGTCGGTTAGATGTAAATTTATGAGTCATTGAGATCACTTCATAGTTAATTAACATAGCATATGCCCAAGTATAAGCCATTGGGATCACTCCAACTAATGCATATGCATGAGTCATAGGTATCAATCAGCCTAAACCAATGGGATGGAAGTAGACTTTATGCAAACATCCAAATTGGCAAGCAAAGAGATCGGCTAAGAGACTAAGGTGAGAGAAAGTACCAGAGTGGGTGCAATGCATTCTCCATAGACAACGATGCGCATGCCATAGAAGGCACCATGTCCTGTCTTCTCCCTTAACAACCGCCATTTCCTCGGAGCTTCTAAGTTGATGGCTCCATCTTCGCTCAACCCACTCTTATGCCACTCAAAAGGCTCCTCTTCAAGAAACCACCCAGCTTGATAGCTTGATGTTAAGTAATCAGTTTTTAATATCCATCTGCAAACCATAATCAGTGTTTAGTATCCATCAGCAGACCACAATACCAATCTGAAATCTTAGGCCATCTATTGATTCCTTTTCACCCTTTTAGCACTCTTTTTCTCTTTATTTAGCCTCAATTCTCTGGGATTTAAAAAGTTATATAAGCAAACAAAAATATACACCCTTCCATTCCAAACATGGGATTGCATCTTCTAAGTATTTGGTTAGAAAGTTAAATGCGTTCCTGGACCTGTTAATAACAAGAAGAAATTTAATGTACAATGTTAAGCTCACTCAAAGTACCTCCTCCTCTTAATGCAAATTAAAGCATACCTCCCAGCTGCTGCTGCCGCAAAAAACTTTTCTGTCCTCCTAACTGGATCAGGAACAATGAAGTGGGTGGCCTGATAAGACCAGTTGTGAGAATCTTTGCAAAGTTTCCCTCTCACTTTTTTGATAACCTGCTGAAACTCCTTCTTCTGAAGAGGATGACCACTCAATATAAACCATCTTTGCGCAGGTTGTATCATTATTGCTGACTGTCTCACTCTCCCCAAGCCCTTCGCTTCAAAACCATTATCCATGTCTATATTCTGAAAGGTCTTTGTCTCAGATTTAACTGCAGCCTTTTCACTCTGAGGTTTTGCCATTTCAGCAGTCTGTTTACCTCTTGGAATTCGTTTATTTTCATTCTCTCTAGCCATATATGTATCATTGAGAATCACATTCTCTGGCACACTCTTTTTTAAAGAAGTTTTAAGCTTGGCCACCTTATCCTGAGTGCCCAGATTCATAGTTGAATTTTCCACCTTAGTTTTCTTCCCCTTTAAAATTTTCTTAAAAACTCGTCCATTCCTATACTGAGGCTTTGCTGATTCTGAAGTCTCCTCACCAGTTGGGATTAGCTTATTTTCCTTTTCAGCATCCATGGATGTCTCGCTGACAATCGCATTCTTCTTCACATTTTTCCTGGAAATACTTTTTGGGCTCATCACTTCGTTCTCTTGAGCAACTGCCATGCAGTCATCTGGTTTAACAGTTAGGTCCTCCATCTCAGTGTTCAAGTCCTTCAAACTTTTCCCAGTGTACAGTCCAGTTTCATCAGCTTTCTCTGCACAAATCGTAACTTCACCTTGAGAGCCACTTTGACCTGAAGGGCATTCAGATTTACCTTTGCTAAGATCACTTGTACTAAGTTTAGCCCTACATCTCATACTTTTCTTTGGTACCAACTTCTTATCCTCCACATTGTTATGCTCCCCATCTTTCTTCTTATCAAAACTACCATTGTCACATTCTTCTACGATGGTGCTGCTTTGAAGCTTTATTGCCGCAGATTTAATGCTTTCAGGAGACTTTCCACTTTGGTGAGATTTACTCTCTTCACTTATACCATGATTGGATAAGCTTGCCAGTTCATTCAACAATCCATTATCATTCTCAGATTTAGTGGGCATTTCCAAAGTTTGGAACCCATTTAATGAAGTTTTAGGCTTCACATCTGCAGTCACTGCTTCAGTTGGCTTCAAGTTTTTCATGATCGATTCTCCAGAGCCATTGCTCATGTCCATTTGCATATCTAGCACAGCTTTCAATTCACCATTTGTTGGAATGCCTGCCATTTTTGACAAAGATAAGTCTAACTTATGTTCACCCTTTTTTGAAATTAGTGGCCTGCGTTTGAGAGTTTTCTTCCTCAGAGTTGCACATTGATTCTCAGTGGATCCAGTTTGTCCATTTTCTGTACAATTGACAAGGGCATTGCACTCCAACCGTTTGTTTTCTTCTTTAACAGAAGGATTAACATTGATTCGAGTTTGGTGAAGGGGCAAACCATCCAACACTGTCTCTGCTGAGTGACCATTTCCCAATGAAGTTTCAAAAATGTGCTTTTGGCTCTCTAGAGCCTTTCCTTCCCTAAAAGGTACAGCACCAGTTTCTAAAACTGCCTCCTCCCCCTTCCCAGTTGACCACTGAGGTAGCTTCTCCACATTGATCACCTCCTCACCTACCCTGTGCACCGAAGTTTTGAAGGGCTGGGCTGTTGACACAACATTATCATCATTCTTGATGGAATCATTTTCCCCGAAGGTTTTTAGCGAAGAGCTGTTCAACCCACTTGAAAGCTCATCCAATAATTCTGCCATTGTGGATTTCTTTGATATTTTCCGAGAATAACTCATAGAATTTGGTGTAACATTTATGGCACTAGAATGAGATCTTTTGGGGGTTTTCTTTTCAGATGAAACCAAATTTGCTCCAACCATATGATTTTGGACTTCATCAATCGAGGTGGTTGTATCCCCTCCTACAACAATGTCCTCCATCACATGGTCATTATCTGCCATTAACTTGGCTCCCATATCTTGATAGCTTAACATTTCATTACACTCTTTATTTGTACCATCACATGGCACATGATCTTTTCTATTAGGTGCCTCTTTGCATGGAGTTGAAAATAGCATATCATTTCTAGCTATATCTATTTGGACGGCTGAGGAGGCTTCAGCAGCATCTGTTTTTTTCTGAATCGAACGAGCTCCTTGTGGCATGGAAATATCAGAATTTGTGGACCTCAAAACTTCACTTTGCAAAGGAAGAACACCTGAGTTGCCTCTTGCTCGAAATGGTGTTGTAGGGATCACTGCCTTTGTTGTTTCCTCCTCAGAGTCCCTGGCCTCTGCCTCCAGCATTTCTAATTCCCAACCACTGTTGAAAAGAAGTTATATTAAGACATGGAAATTACTTAACCAATATTGATGTTGGTTATGCGTGAGCCTAGAAATCCATTAAACAGCTAGTGAGAGATACAAAAATATAGATGAAACTTGAAGTAACTTCAGACCAAGAACAGCCGAGAGAGATGGTCTAACCCACAAGAACAAGGAAAAATAACTGGGGAAAGGATCATAAATTTGCCAGTAAGGAAATTTGGAATTGGTGAGCTTTCCTAATAAAAACAAGGATTGAAATTAAACCATTCTGAAACTCAAGTATCAAAATCAATACAATGCCTCCTTCAGACAAGATATTCACCACCAAAAAGTGCAAAGCCTCTAAAGATGCCCTTAAAGGATTCCAAGGACATTAACACAGGCGAAAGAGCATTTCAAAGATAACATACATGATGCATTGCATTAGTTCCCATTCTATTGAGAATGTTGGTAAATATCTGCCAAAAAAGCAATTTGTATTAAATCACAAAGACGCACTTGGTACCTGATGCGGTATCTATCTTCGGGGAGAATATCCCATGCTTTTAAACTGCAACAGAAATCAAACAAAGTTAAAATAATAAACAAATGAGCTGATAAACCAGTATCTTGTATGATAATCCATAGCATCATAAAATGAATTTTGAGCACAAAACTTTGAATGGGTTGAAGTATTACCAGTCCTCCAACCAACGATGGTTGATAAGCTTTATTCCCAATTTCTTAGCAAGGTTGTATTTTTCACCTGGAGAAAGTAAAAACACAATCGACAATTAAATGTTCTTCACAAAAGCATGAAGCAAGAAAATATATTCATGGTCCACTGTTAGAATGTCTTTTGCATTCAATTCGTTGGAACAATGTTGAAGAAGGTGGAGGCGGCCGCCTAGGCATCCGGGTGGCTAAGAACTGTGACAGGTAATATTAATATCATGGCTATGTGCATTTGTTTTTGTATAAATGTCCACATATGTGCTTTTTTAAGAACATGTACCCTCCCCCTCCTCTAAAATGTAAATAAAGGTATTTTACTAAATAAAAGATAAAATAATACTTTACTTCTTTAAGAACTATGCCAGGTACTTTACTTTTTAATTAACAAAAATTAACGAAGGATACTTTTATTGAAAAATGATACTTTATCTTTAAAATAAATGAACAGAAGTACAAACGACAAAAAATTTATCTCTCCATAGACCTAATTCTCTCTCACTAAATAAAAGAAAAAAAAATTAAAGAGGTGGAACCAGGCGAGCGCCCAAACCCGCCTAGGCCGGCGCCTTAAACAAGTCTGCCTGGACCTTCCCCCCGGTACACCCCCCCCCCCCCCCCCCCCTGACCTAGGCCATGTCTAGACGGTTTGAGAAATAGGCCGCCTAGGCAATGGGGCGGCCGAATTTTTGCACATCGGTTGGAAATTGGAATCTAGAAATCATACAGTTTTAGCACTCTAAGGAGCAATTAAATGAGTTTGAGAAAATGGAGGGAGCCACCAAGTCATATTTTTGGAACCATGCTCATACAACACGGTTGTAACACTTCATCGGGTATATACTTTCCTATTCAGTTTGGAGACAGTTTTATGCATGCCAGCTAATTGATGGTGGTGAACTAGTAGGGCACAAGCCCCTAAAATTTCAAATTGAGAGAAATACAAAAATCTATTAGGAATGTGACATGATGCAGTTGTCCAATTCAGTGACCAATGCAGAGAATCAGTAAGGACCATTCTCCTCAGATTTCCATTGAGACGAGCATAAAATGCATTAGGGATGCAACATGAGACAAATATGATTTTCAATAAGAAAGTGAGGACTAGAACAACTAGCATAGTGGAATGCAGAGAACTGAGCAATGGCTTTTGCCATGGTTCTGAACATAAACAAGTTCTCTCTATGCTAGAGTCAAACTCTCTCATCCCAGTGGATGAACTTCTCATACCTCAGTTTAGCATTCGATAAGCATCGTGTATAAGTCTGGGAATTTATAAAAAATACAGTAATTGAAGGATTGGCCATATTTACAGTCAGAGTAGTGAAGCAGCGAATCACATGGCAGATTGAAGCACGAAAGAAAAATTCATGTATTTTTGCGAAAAAAAGTTGAAGTTGTGAATATCTCAGCCTCAAGTTCCCTATCTCAGACTCAAGTTTCCAAGTTACTTGTATTTGGCTACCAAATAGAGTTCAAATCTAAAATTGCTGGCAATGGATTTCCATGCAAATCCCTGATACAAACTGCCAGAGTTTTATAACACGAATTCCTTGTATGTAAAAATTATTAGTTAAAGGGTACTTGATTTCAATTACTTTTTCAACTCAATGCTAAACAAAACAGGAAAACTAAAAGTTGCTAGATTTCAGTACCATGAATTATTCTTTACCTGACTTGGAGAACAAGAGAACGCTAGAAGTGCAATTAGATGTATCATGTCCTAAGTTCAAAGAGACACATTCGAACAGATGCTGTGCTATAATGTACTCAAGGCAAAAGAACAAAAATACATAGAGCAGCACAATTTAAAAGGCCATATTACAGAAAAATAATATCCAAATGTCCGAGCCAAATTACAGAAAGATAATATCCAAGTGTCCAAAACATTAAGAATAATAAAATAACATCAACCAAAAATACTCTATTGAAGGCGATATATGTAACTGTGGGTTGGGGAAGACGATCGCACCCTCAAATTTGTAGCATACAAGATGAGTAACCTTGCTTGCTATGAGAGGCTTTGTAAATTGTGCTCCCATCAGATCCACCATTTTCTGAGAAATAAGTCCAAAAAATATGTTTATGTGGTTGGTTGATGATTATTCCAACTAATAGCATCATCAATTAAAGATACATATAAAAGCATTCAGCTAAAACAAACAGCATACCATAATATCAGAACGTTCCTGCTTCTGATATCCAGTCAAGCAAATGTGCATGGACTGACAACCACGAATGCCATTCAGATCCCTTACAGGCTTGTATAAGATCTACATGAACAATAAGCAAAACCCATTGAACATTTGCACTAGTACAAGCTGAACCAATGGAAAAGGAAAGGAGGGATAAAATGACAGTTAAACTCACTAAAGAAATTGAACATCATTGCAAAAAACAAGTTGTTGTGTAATTAAACTACATATGTTGGCCACCTGGTATTCTAATATGAACATTACAAACAATTAAGAAAGTTTCTGAAGTCCATCAATTATTACCTCAGATGAAAATTTCAAATCATATCAGAGGTAGAAATCTAATAAAATAAGCATTTTCCTTTGAAGAACTTACTCACAACGAGCAAGTAAACAACAGGACAGCTTTTGATAATAAAATAAATAAATGTAAATGTACACCAATAGTGAAAAAGCCCTCCTTGTAGTCTTTTACATATTCCTTAAGAGAAACAGGGAAAATACATCACAATCAAAAGGAATTACAAGGCGTATAGAAGCAACTTATTGCCCTGACAAATCAGAGGTGGAGAGATTTAGAAGGAAACAAATGAATGAACAAGCAATACGGAAGTACAAGCCAAATATACCTGGTTAGCATCTGCAAGCTTTCCAAATTCTAGGCTGTCCTCAACCCAAAGCGCTGAAACCAGAGTCTTTCCATCATGTCTAGCTTCAACACAAACTGGATCATTCTAAGAAAAACCAAAACAATGTTGTTATCTGCTTGGTAAAACATAAATCCAAAAACAAAAAATATTGATCATTAAAAAGTTATGCATTAGTAATAGTGAATCGTCTGATATTAGACAACTCTTTACATGTTATCTATCGTATTAGGACCAATTAAAACAAAAAAATATCTCCCTAAACAGTGAGAAAGTGTATTATTTGATGAATCCATGTCTCTTTCATTAAAGAAACCCAAAAGTTCCAGTAAATTAAATAGTCACATACTCGGACTGATAGCAAAATGACACTGGCATATCCTGTTCATGAATTCCATAAAAAAGAAGAAATTGAGAGATAAAAGGCCCCAAATGTTTGACTTGAAATCCCCAAAACTACAGAAATAATGCCATGAAAATTAATCTAAAATATGCATATATCAGAAATACAGTGAAGTCCGGAGCTTACATAAGTAAGGCGATGCACAATCACATGGGTGCAGCTCGAATTGTAAGGGCTGACATCAATAGCTCCACCATTTTCAAGCTCGGATTGGTACTAAAAATAGTGCCATTAACGAATGTAGAGACAAATTCAAGAAAAAAAAATTGGACGTTACAGAGAGAGGGAGAGAGATAAATGGATAACAAATGTAGACACAGATTAGCAAACAAATACTGGAAGTCAGATAGAGAGAGAGTTGAGTGAAGAGATGCATAGAGAGAGATGGAAAGATAGAGAGAGCGAAACAATGAGTGAGGAGATTACCTGAATTTGTGCGGCCTCATCAAACCCAAAGAGAACGAAACGAACCCCAGAAAACAATTGAGAGTTACCGTCATTGATGGCTTGAGGATCACGCATCTCGCCTGCTATTAAACAAATTACGAATGCAATGGTCACAAAAAGTTTACATAAAAACACCGCAAATAACTGACTACATAAATGAAAAGGGAAAAAATAGCAGCAGTTAGCCAAAAAAAATGTAGCACTAGAAACCCTAGAATGACATTGATAAGAAATCACATTACAGAAGAATAACATGGACATTAAATTGGAAAAAAAATAAAAAAACACTTTGAGAAATTGATTAAGGAGATGAGTAGAAGGAGATTTACCAGTCGAAACTCAACAGTGGGCTATTAATCACCAGAAAACAATCTAATTTTCAAATGAGAGAGAGATAGAGAGAGAGTTTCATGAAGAACCCTAGAGAGTCCAAAACCGATAGAGAATAATTTTGAAGAAATGGGAGATGGGAGTTGTGAGATCAGTTGCAGAGAGAAAAGCGTTTATTAAATTTGGGGGCTTTTCGGGATTTCGATTTTCTTCGATTGAGGGGAGGGGAGGGGAGGGGAGGGAGCGTAAAGTGGCGCTAAAACTCAAAAATCAAACTGTGTTTCGAGGCGCGGGCAATATCTTAGTCCTCGCACGTAGCTTAAAAGATTTATTTTGCGTATATTGTCTTCCTTAAAACCTAAAATGGCTATTTTATCATTATTATAAGCGGTTACCAAAATTACGTTATGATAAAATTTGGAAGTGCGCTTCTTTGTTTAAAGTTTTGCATCTTTCCTTTATCAAAAGGGTGAGGTTTGTAAAAGGTGTCAACCTATTTTATTTTTATTTTTTAAACCAATTACATGTACATGTGAAAAAAAAAAAAAAAATTAAATAAAACTCTCAAAAGTAGACTTTCTAAACACTTTACCCACCTTAAGTTTTTTAGCATATTTTTCTAAAAAATCAAGTTTTATAGCAAATACCCCCAATATAAAAAGTTCTTTTTTTTTTTTGACGAAAAACAAATCATTTTCGGATCCAAATAAAATGAAACGCCGGACTACGGTTGTATATTACCGGACCCATCCATTTTGCGGGACCGGAACTGTACACTGCCGAGCCGTTATTCCAAACACAAACAAATGCCAGACCGCCTCTTCCAAACATTAGACCGCCATGGTGAAGTGTCATGCCGTATTTTAGTATCATCCTTTTTTTTTCCAAACGAGGGGTATTTTAGTCTTGTTTTTATTTTATTTTTAATTGGGGTAAATTGTTTAGAAGTTCATTTTTTGGGTTTTATGAAATTTTTCCTAAAAAGAATGCCAGTTACTATAATTTTTTAAATATTTTTCAAAATACGCCTCAGTCCAAAGATACCATTCTTGGATCTATTTCGTTTTTTTTTGTCTTTTTTTAGTTTTCTTCATTGTCTTGGACCTATTTCGTTTTTTTTTGTCTTTTTTTAGTTTTCTTCATTGTGTCATATGTTTTAGGAAAGTTGGTGGCCGGTTCGAAGTCCCCATCCTTGGACCATCCACATTATAGTCTCACACCACATTATAAGCAGTCCGAGATGGACCGCTAAACACGATAGTGTAGGTGCCTGGGGATGAAGACCTCGGATTGTTAATTAGTTTGAGCTTAAGCGAGCAATCCGATATCTCTATCATCAAAACGCCTATAATATGGTAGAACACCACAATCGGGGCAATTCAAGGATGGGGATCTCATACCGGTCGTCAACTATCTTAAAATATAAGACACAACGAAAAAAATAAAAAACAAAAGTAAAAGTAATTCGGGCCTCCATAAATGATATCCTTTAACCGAGGAGCATTTTGGAAAAAATTTAAAAGTACATAGTAACCGACCTTCTTTGTAATTTGTAAGTTTATTTAACTCTTTTTGTATGCTGCCAACTTTTTTTGTGAGTGCACGTAATTGTCTCTTTTTCTTTCTTTTTTTATAAAGTTCTCATGATAGATGCACTATTTATCATTTTATACTTTCGATATTATTCCTTCTCATTGCCATTGTCTCTTTTTATAGGTATTCTGAAATTAATTTAAACAATATTGGTATTACCAATATTGAATAGTTCACTCTGTTGGGTATTGTGATGTTTTTCTCGTGTTGATTCGGATAGATATATTGCCTATCTAGGTTAGGAACTGTCTAGTGCCATCTGATTTTTAAGCTAGATCTCAATTCTAAAATATTGTTGAGCAAAAACAACAAGCTGACAAATTGCCTCAACTTCCAGGCCATCAACTCAGCTTTTTGGAGCTTGATATCATTTGAGTTTTGTTTGACCTTGAACTCTTAAAACAAAAATTGTTTTTGAATTTCTTTTATTTTTTTCCAATATTTGCTTGGCAATCTATGGCCCTAAACTGCACAACCATAAAGGACAGTTTGGTTGTACAATATGCGAAAAAGTCGTATCTGAACATCCCAACATAAAATGGTTTCCCTTTTGCGTCGGCTTCTCAATACAAATAAGGCTTTCATGCCTCATATGCTTCATTGTACAATGTAATTATCCCATTTATAATTATTCGAGCATTCTAAACCCAGATGTTTTTATGAATAAACAATCTCAGCCTACTAAGTTCCTAATTGAAAAACCAAGTTAGTATTCCATAAACCACCCACCATAATTTTAGTTTTGTGAATTAATACTAATTCCATAATATTGACAAAAGTGACTCAAAATATGAAGCATTTGCTTCAGACTTTGACTTGATTTGGAAATCAAAGCCACATCATCGATGAAGAGCAAGAGATGGAGAGGTGATTGCCTTAATAGATTAGAATGACTAGGAAAAAGAGAGCAACCTTGTTTAACACCAACAAAGCTATTAAACATAACCCTGTCATGTGCATTATCATATTTGATTTAGATATACACATTTAAGTAGAGCATTGGATTGCTGACATCAAAGGCATTAGGACCTCGTTATTTTGCAATCTTTGCCACAGATTTTTCTATTGACATAGTCATATGCTTTAGAGAAGTACACAAAACACATTAAATTTTTATTATTTTGGCCTTTAGCTCGATCAATTAGATATTTTAAGGTGATGAGATTATCTATTGTAGAGATGTTGTCAGAAACCTGCTTGAGAAATTGCTCGTAATTTTGTTTACCTTTGCCCATATACCAATATTTAATTGCATGATAGTTCCCAAAAAGCTTTGTAAATATATTATTTGATTACGATTAACCTGTAATTGTTTGAATCTGTTTTGCTTCCATTATTAAACAACATCACAGATCTGTTAATACATGACTCTTTATCCAGCCCAAATTCTAAGGCATGATTAAGTTTTCTCGAAACAATTTATCAAACAAGAGGTCCATCCCATTTTAACAATTCTCCGTATAAGCCATTTTTAGAGCTTAAAATCTTAAATTTTTTGCACAATCATAATGTTAAAGCCAAGATGATTGATACAAAGGTTATCCAATCCTTGAATTGTAATTTTCGATGAGTTATGTGGCGAGGCTTTACTTATTTTGATGATTGGGGGATCAAACTAGTGACCCATCGGTCTGGGTTGACTTGTGGAGTCGGCTTGGCCAGACACAGGCAAGAAGGAAAAACTTAAAGGGAATAAATTACAACAGATCACGAAAAATATATGATCAATTCAAGAAGACGATGTTAAAAAGGACATATCTAGTTCCATACTTGTATATCCAATTCACCCAAGAAGTATAATAAAAAAAGAAGTTTTCATTAAAAAACAAAGCAATAATTTTATATGGAAAAAACCTAAGGACACGGTTTTTATGTGGCCAGCCCGCGTATTGTAGAAATGTGAGCTTGGCAATAAATTTATTTTTAAATATAATTTCATCATAATTTTTAGAAAATATATAATATTTAACATAGAGATTATGAATATGAGTTTTTTTGTTTAAAAACTATAAATAATAATTATATTAAAAAAACATTTGACCATTAATTACACTTGTTTTTAAATAAACCACCTATTTGCATCCATCTTTAAAATGGATGCTTTATATCTTCGGTCCGCACATTATGAAAATGCAATCCAGCCCGTTTGAAACAATTTTCCAAAACCTAATATACAAAAATATAGTTAAAATCAAGCAATACGTGTTGGAACACTATTCACAACGAAACCCCAAAGAGACCTTGCGTTTTTTATAAGCCGGGACTTTTCTCCGATGAATAAAACCTAGAACTCTTGAATTTAGATATCTTAAAACAAGGTTTCCAATTGAATAATTTTTTTAACAAATTTGTTGGAGGGCTCTAATTTGGATTTCTATGCACAAATTTTATGAATATTTTATTGAGAAAACTGTGTGATAAAAGAAACAATAAATCGAGGGTTTTGAGCTAAAACATGGCAAGTTTTTTTATCTTTGTTTTCGCAAGCCATCTGTTTTGGTTATTGTAGATTAATGATAGATGTGACGGAACGGATTTCAGAGGATTCGAACAGACCGTTTCTGTAGGGACGCGGATGAGGCTCCCTTACGCCCCGAGCCAAATCGGGCCGTTACTCAATTCAATTATTTATTGATGAAGATAAAGTATATAATGAGACTATTACTTTTGGTACAAGGCCGTCGCCGTTAATCATGATTATTAGATGTAAAATTGGATGATTGCATTTGCTTCATTGACCAAGCTCAAAATTCAAAATAATTTTTTTTTAATTTTATGACACACCCCAGCTATCAATTTTCACCTTGGATGATTATAAGTAATCGTGACCTTTCTGTATCAAAGGTAAATTATCTCATTGTATACCATCTCATTTATTAATCACTACCATAAACTTTCATTTAGGGCATGTTTGACGGGTTCTATGTTTTTATTAGAGAATGAAGTTTTTAGAAGGCTTAGGCTTTATGAAAACAAAAGCCTCATCTCAAATCCTCGTATAGAAAGCACTTTCCGTAATGGAAATCTTGATAATGAATTTAAAATCAATTTCCAACACCAACAATAAAATTTGAAATTTAAAAATATTACAGATATTGCAGATCTATGAACATTTATTTTGGATGGAATGGACGGTCTAGATACTTTGGTACACTATATACTATTTTCGGAGCTTAAAATCCTATTTTTCTTTCACAACCATAATGTGCAAGCCAAATGATGGATGTAAGTTTTACAATACTCGAAGTGTAATTTTCGATGAGTTACAATACAAGGCTTTACTTATTTTGATAGTGCTGCAGCCTATCAAACCATTTTCCTTTGTTAAAATAAGGGTCTTTTACATTAGGGAAAAGTTTATATATAGCCGAGGTTCTAAACAATCAAATTTGAGCTTACCTCAAAAATTTCATTAGCCCAAATATCTTCAAAATGATCATCTCAACATCAAGATGCATGGACATGAGAAAAAATTGGATTTCGAGTTTTAGAACTAGTGTATTTTGTAGCTCATTTTTTGACTTCAATTTTTAAGACTTTCAAGTTTTCACATATATGATGATCTACACTATTTTTGAAGCTTTAAACTTTACAAATAAATATAAAAATATATTTTAAGGCTATCACAAAGATTTTCGATAGTGAAACCACATTTCTCGACACTATTTGAAGGCAGGCTCCAATTTGAATGTTTAGAGCCTAGGCTCTATACAAACCGCACTCCATTACATTAAACCCCAAGTAATCCACTTTCATTTTTGCTGCTTCCATATACTCACATTAAACCCAACAATTCTAGACACCCTCCATGATCCACAGTTAAACCCATGTGTTCTCCCAGCCGTTCGTTCTGCTCATCCGTGAGAAAACTTGCGTGAATTTTCGTTAATTATCATTCACAATAATCCCAATTGAAGGTCCGAGGCAATATTCTTCAAAACAAAATTGCATGATTTTTTCGTTACTTTCTAGAAGGATCCTTACCAGTAAGCAAAGGAAGAATGGGTAGTTGGGGAATAGAACGGTAGACTCTACTATTATGAATAAAAGTCTCATACTCCTTTGGGAGTAAACTATCCGTATACTCCATTTGGCAAAACTCATAACAGGACTATCTTTTAGATTCAAAATTTTGGGATGAGATCACTACAACTCGAAACCAATCTCAAATAGAAAATTTTAACTCTCACTTTCTATCTGCCTAAAAAACTTGGCACCCAAGATTGCAGTTGAAACCACTAATGTTTTGGATGGAATGATGTAGATGTTCAAAAACTCAAAATCTAAATTTTATTTTCAGTGTAGTTATAACTAGATTGGATACTGAAATTTAAATCTAAACTTTATTTTCTTTAGTCTAGTTATTACTAGATTGGATACTGAAATTTCAAATTCGAAAAATCTCTAGTGTTTGCCCAATGGAGTAAATGTATAGTGTGCTCTCATTGGGCATAGTTTACCCACTCCTTTAAATATAGGAAAAAGTTTACATAAGGATGTAATTACTTATAAAGTAGAACAACGAATGCACTTCAAAAATGTGTCAGAAAAGGTAGTTTTAATGTAAAAAACCTTTGGAATGATCATCTCGATATCGAGATGTATGACTATAAAAAATAAAAAGATTTTAAATCTCATAAATAGTTCATTATGCACCGTCAATTTTCAAGATTTTCATTTGATTATAGATATACTCGATTTTAACCATTTTTGAAATTTAAAATTTTATAATTAGATATAAATATAGATTTTGAAATAGGAGTAATGATCTTATAAAACCTTTCCATACTCATGTGTGTAGGACCCTAAAGGATCACCATTAAATTTTATATACACCTCTAAAAAAAATTATCACATGGACAGAAGGATCTTATAGGACCATTAGTCCTCATTTAATCCTAAAAACATTTTACTATCAAAATTATATAAAATGATAAATTTGAAGGGTCTCGTAGGATCATTACTCCTCATCAAATTTGAAGGTGCACCTTACCTTTAGAGCTACGGATGCATCCGTATGCCAACCGCACCCTTAAATGTATATATGAGACACTCTTTCTAGATTGTGGACAAGTCTCTCTACGCGCGCTGTCTCCTGTGGGTGAATCCTCCTTTCCCTGTCTTCTAGGTTCCATGGCTTGGATCACCCGGTTTCTAGCAGTTGTTACCTTCTTCGCAATTGGGATTGTTTTCTCTTCTCAAACCTTCACTTCCACGAACCCATCGGGGGTTATCTCTTCTTCTCTGAAACTCGCCCATTTATTGAGCTTCTCCACTGCATGGGGAGCTGCCTTATGGGTCACCTTCATAGGTGGAATCATCATGTTCAAGTAAGATATTTTTTCCCCTTTCCATATGCGCTGAGTACTTGCGCCATGGTTTTTGGTTTTTGATTTATGGTTTTATTTGACTTGAGTGACTTGGATTATAGTAGTGTTTTCATGGCTGCAGTGCTAAATTCAGGGTTTCATTTTATGGGGTTGAATTCAATTTCTATTCTCTATTAATTCTGTTTTTAGCTTACACACGGGTTTTCATGGCTGTCGTGGTTTCAATAAATTTTCAGTTTCTACACTTATAAATTTAGGGAAATGGTATTGTGGTTGGTTGGTTCAGAGATTAAACTGATGTTTAGTTTTGTTATAGCATAGGAGTTATTTTTCTGTGGAAATTGGTTATGCTGCTAAGTTGAAGGTTTGTTCTTTTTTGATGTGTGATTGTTTTCTAATTTTAATGTAAAGTGGGGATCTTCACTGATGTTGTGAACCTGGTAGCGGGAAAATGTGAATTATTCTGATAGTTTTTTTGTTAATGAGTCAAATACCCTGACCCTTTTGAAGATGAAACGCAATTCTTGTTTTTCCGTGTTATTTTTTGTGGTGCACAGATGATTGAAGCTAATTACAAGTTCTCGTCATTTGCATATGATATGATGGACTTGACAAAAGATCATCGTACATATTCTATTTGTTACCCATATGTTCTTTTGAGAAGATATATGTTACCCAGTTGTTTACTAAGATGTAGTATGTTACCCAGTTGTATATTGAGAAGATATGTGTTACCCAGTTGTTTATTGCCGTGTTTAGAAGATCGTCTTGGCGAAGGAATTTGGCCCTTGGCTGAGGCGAGTTACTCGGCCATGTTATGTACCAAAAAGCCCTAGACAAATTGAAAAGTAATATAAGATCATGGAAAAAAATAAAATAAAGGTATTAAGCATAAAATGTAACCAAAAAGCAACATTAAAAAATCAAAATATGCTTAAAAAAGTATAGAAAAATGGATTTTAAAAGATTGATTTGTAGTTGGGAACATTTCAAGAAAATTCTAAAAAAATGAAAATATAAAACTAGGAACTATGGAAATAAAACTCTCACCAATCTATGTCAAGAAAAATGTTAATCATATAAAAGAAATTTATACAACATACCCATATTTTTTACATTTTCTTGGTTTTTTTTTTTGAATTTTTTTATGTAATCTGAGTTGGACACACAACTTGCTGGTAGCTCAAGGCTGAGTTACTCGCCCGTCTGAGTGGACTTAGGCAAGTCCCATAACACAGGTTTATTGAGAAGATATATGTCACCCAGTTTTTGTTTTCACCGATTATGGTGACTCTATATCCGTGTGTGCCCATGTGCGGGCTCGTATGCGTGTGCTTGTACATGTGTGGGGATGGGGGATGAGGTTGGATGTGTTAAATATGGGTAAATGTGTTTACACATGAAAATCAGAGGCGAGATGACTCAATAGAGAAGTGTGTTCTGTCAAATTACAGTATATAAGAAGATGAGTCCACAAAAATTTCTCATACACCATCGGCCATACTGGCCTAAATCCACATAAAACCTATAAAGAGACTTCGGAAAATTTTATAGAAATCAGAAAAAAAGATTTTTATAAAAATTTTAAATGTAGAACTTTAAATCTCAAAGGAAAGAAAGAAAGAACAACTTACTTGGTGTAGGCTCAGCCCCGGCACTAGAGTTGGGGCCTGGATCAGACTTAGATGGCGAGGATTAGGGTTTTTGATTTTTATTTTCCTTGGCTTAAGGTTCATTGCTACTGGGTTTTGCAGGAAACAGAGATAGGGGACCTAAGTTCCTAGGATTTTATAGGTTTAGGAGGCTAGAGGTTGATGGGTTAGAGGGCTTAGGAATCTAGGGTTTTATCCTGTTGGCGGTCCAAAAGTGGCTCATTTATAGACAACAAGTTCGCAAGTTAGGAAGGTAGCACTTTATAACAAATCTGGACTGTCCAGGCTTCAGCAACGTGGTATGCGTCAGTAGCAACGCACACTGTGTCTTTGGCACCATTTGGCCTCGGTTTCCATTAAAACGTTCTGTACTTGCATATTTTGGTGGATATTTGGTCCAATTTTTGCCATATACAGGGTCCAGTGCAGCAATTTCAGATCTTGCTCCCTTCTAAATTCGAGACCTGCCATTTTGGGGTGTTAACCTTCTAAAATTGGGTTTGTTGGGGATTATTCTGATATTTTTTATTGATTTCCTATGGCATATGGAGTATGGTTATGGTGCACTAAGGATTGCTAGGCTAGTGTGGTCCATAATGGTTTAGGTTTTGGGTTCCTGGGAATTCCCTTAGAAAGAGGAACGGGGGGGGGGGGGTAGGGGTCGTGTAAAATGGAGGGCGACGGTCTGTAAAATGGAGGGCGAAAGTCCAGCATGGTAAAGATGCATGCCTTATTGGAGAGAAGCAGTGTTGTAAG